TAAATGCCTTAATGGCAGAATCATGCTTGCATGTATAACCCACTGTCTCCCTTTCCCCTGTCTCCCCTCCCACTTCCCCCCAAGCTCTAGGCTAACACTGACTCTGTCTAATTTTGGGAGCTGACCCTGAAAGATCAATATCTTTTTGACTCATTATGGTTTTACACTGGAAAATCTCCAAGCATAACTTACATGGAGCTTATGTCTAGATGTCCACAAATGTGAGAACACAGTCCCCAACTCTCATTCAAGCATTCAAGGTAACATGCATATTGGTAGAGGGCTGCCTTTATTTCACCCCTAGAAAATACAGAAGGTACATAGGATTCATGGGAACCCAAACATTGAAATAAGGAACACATAAAGGATTCACAGTTACCCACAAGTCATTCTTGCCTTTTCTGGGGAAGGGGGTGTCTCATTTTTATATCAGCACCTTAGACTCCTTCTAATTCAATGTCCTATTTAGGAAAGTACTGCACTTGGGGTCACCAGTGAGCCAACACCTTGATATTGTGAATCTCTAGATCTCACTCTGTTTCCTATACAATCCCTTCCAATCTGTTAGACAATACCCATATATTAAGTAACTGCTGTGTGCAAGGCACTATGCTGGGGATATAAAGAAAGGTAAAAGACAGTCCCCATTCTCAAGGAGCTTACAGGCTAATGGTGGAGACAGCATGCAAACAACCATGTATAAATGAGCTATAGACAGGATAAATTGGAAATAATTACTAGAGAGTAGGCTTTGGAATTAGGAGGGATTGGGAAAGACTTCTTGTAGAAGGTGGCTGGGACTTGAAGGAAGCCAGGGAGTGAAGATGAACTTTCTGGACATGGAGGACAGCCAGAGAAAATCGTCAAAGTCGGGAGTTGCAGCATCTTGTTTGAAGGAACCAAGTGTTACTGAATCAAAGAGTATGTGGTGGAGGGGAAGGGTATAAGATATAAGAAGAATGAAGAAATGGAGGGAGGCAAGTTCTAGGTCATGAAGGACTTTGAACTCCAGACAGGATTTTTTTTTCTTCCAGACTTGTAATGTTACCTTGCGCTCTCTGGGAGGCAAACATACGTTAGGGTTTTTGGAAGATCCGTACTGCCCTAAGAATTCACAACAACAACAGAAATTGAAGTACAGATTTTCTGCTTTCTTATTGATAGACTATCTCCCACTGCTAACCTATCTTTGGGGGCCACATAGAAATTTCTTTTTCTGTTTCCAAAAGGCCTGCTGCTCAAGAACTCATTCCTATTAAGGGGCAGATCTCTGAACTCTGAAACCTGGCTGTTAATCTCAAGGGCACCATTCTCCCAAATTCCCTCTTTTTGTTGATGAGACCACCACCCTCACTGGGCACTCAAGCTTAAAATTTTTAAATCATCTTTGATTCTTTCTCTCGCTTTAGCCCTTCTATTCAGGCATTTAGCAAAATCTGTCCATTCTATCTCCAAAACATAGGATCTTAGTTCTTGAACTGAAAGGAACTTCAGAGGCTTAATCCAACCCCTTCATGTTACAGATGAGGAAACCGATGTTGAAAGATGTGAAGCAATGTGTTGACTGTCCTGGCCACCTACCATCTAATAATCATCAGAGGAGGGATTTGAAATCAGGTCCTCTGTTTCAAGAATCATTACTTTTTCCCCATCCATCCCCTACTATCCAGTTTCATTATCACTGCCTTAATTCGTCTTTTTCACCTTTTACCTGGACTACTGAAATAACTCTCTGACCGGCCTTCCAGCCTCCTAGCTTTCTCTCTTCTCCAATTCATCTTTTATATAGTTGACCCAATAATTTTTTGAAAGCACTGGTTCAAATCATCAACCTTAATCAATGGACATTTACTAAGCACTTACTATGTGCCTGGCACCATATCAGGCACTGGAAATGCACAGACAAAAATGAAAATTCCTGCCCTTGTAGAGCTTGTATTCTATGGGGAGCTTTGGGGGGGGGGCAGGGATGGACACATGTAGTAATAAATGTATAAAATATACACAAATAAATTTAAGGAACATTTTAGGTGGGATGAGAACAACAACAGTTGGGTGGGGAACCAAAAAAGGCTTCATGCAGAAGGTGCCATTTGAACAGAGGTTTTTTTTTTTATTTTTTTTTAAGGCAATTGGGGTTAAGTGACTTGCCCAGGGTCACACAGCTAGTAAGTGTCAAGTGTTTGGTCTGAGGCTGGATTTGAACTCAGGTCCTCCTGACTTCAGGTGCTCTATCCACTGCGCCACCTAGCTGCCCTTTGAGCAGAGTTTTGAACAAAATTAGGGATTCAAAAAGGTGAATGTAATGTGGGAGGGCATTCTAGACAGCTCATGGGCCTTGAGAAACCTATCTACAATCAGATCCTCCACTTCTTTTCCTTTCATTCTCTTCTTAACTCTCCATGGTCTGGCTTCATCATTCAACTGAAAATGTTCTGGCCAAAGTTACTAACAGTCTCTTCATTGTCAAATCCAATGGTCTTTTCTCAATCTTCATGCTTCTTGACCTCTCCTTCTTAGCCTTTGACACTATTGATCCCTCTCCATACTCTCTCTTTTCTAGGTTTTCTTGACACTGCTTTCCCCTGGTTCTCCTCCAACTTATCCAATCAATCTTCTTCAATCTTCTTTGCCTGATCTTTATCCAGGTCTGTACAGTAACTCTGGACATCCCCTAAGGACTTATCTTGGTTCCTCCTCTCTTCTCCCTCTACACTATTTCTGTTGGTGATCTCATCAGCTTTTGTGGATTTAATGATCATCTCTGGGCAGAGAACTCTCCGATCTTTTCATCCAGATCTATCCTCTCTCCTGAGCTTCAATCTTACATCACCAATTATCAATTATCATTCAAACTTACATCTTGAATTAGATGTCCACTAGACATCTTAAACTCAGTATGTCCAAAATCGAACTGACTGTCTTCCTCTCTTCTTCCTAACTTCTCTGTTATTGTCAAGGGTATCTCCATCTTCCCGGTCACCTAGGACTCTCAACCAAGGTGTCATTCTCAACTCCTCACTCTCATTTATGCTCACAACCAATCTATTGCCAAGTACTGTTGTTTCCACCTCCACTTCATCTCCTTTATATATCCTTTATCTCTTCTGACGCTGCCACTCCATCTTGGGGTGGTGTCATCATTTCATCCCTTGACAATCATAATAGCCTTCTGTTTGGTCTTTCTTTCCCCAAATCTTTCCCCACACCAGTCCATCCTCTACTCAGCTATCAGTGATTTCCTAAAGCATGGGTGTGACCATGTTACTGCCCCTACTCAATAAACTCCAGTGCCTCCCTATTACCTCTAGGATCTAACACAGAACCTTCTGTTTGGCTTTTAAAAACCCTCCATAACTTGCTGCCTTCCTACCTTTCCAGTCTTCTTATATTTTACTTTTTTTTTTTTTTTTTTTTACTTTTTGTATTTTACTTATATTTTTCCTCCACATATTCTGGGATCCAGTGGCACTGGCCTTCCTGTTGTTCTTTGAACAGGATGGTCCATGTCTTGACTCCATGCCTTTGCATTAGCTTTCCCCCATGCCTGGAATGTCCTCTTTCCTTCCAACTTTTGGCTTCCCTGACTTCCTGCAAGACTCAGCCCAAATCCTATCTTTTTTAAGAAGTCTTTTCCTTTCCCCTACTAATGCCATCTTTCTAAGAAAATCTCTAATTTGATCTGTTTCTATCTTGTAAAACAATTATTTCCATATTATCTCCACCATTAAAATGTAAGCTTCTTGAGGGTTGGGACTGTTTTTTGAATTTTTTTTCTGTATTCCTAGTCCCTGGTACATAATTAGTGCTTAATGAGCATTTGTTGACTTGACTTGATGGAAATAGGAGACAGATCATCATGTATGAGAACCAGCCAGAAGGCATCTACCATGTGCTGGGCATTGGGGATATAAGGATTCTTTTAAAGTGACACAATTCTTGCCCTCAGGGAGCTTACACTCAGCTCCATGGATATCAAAATCAATTCACAAAAATGAAGTACTGACTATGCAGTAAAAGTGCATAAAGCTAGGTGTTGGGAATACAAAGATTTTCAAAATAAAAATACAAAGATTTTAAAAATATAAAGTCTCTGACCTCAAAGAGTTTGCATTACATTGGGGATGTAACATACATATGTGTGTATATACATACATAGTGTACATATGCAGACATATCTGTTTATACACATATGTTATAGCATACATGTATATCCACACACATGATATATGCATCTATTGTTGCAGCTGTTGTTTTCCAGTCATTTTTCAGTCATGTCTGACCCTTTGTGACGTCATTTGAGGTTTTCTTGGCAGAGATACCGCAGTGGTTTGCCATTTCCTTCTTCAGTTCATTTTACACATGATGAAACTGAGGCAAATAGGATAAAGTGACTTGCCCAACGTCATACAGGTAGTAAGTGTCTGAGACCAGATTTGAACTCAGGAAAATGAGTCTTCCTGATTCCCAGCCCAGTGCTCTATCACCTGTGTCACCAAGCTACCTTATAATGCACATATACACATATACTATGATACAGCAATAGAAATGTTTTTATATGTGCACGTATATGTATGTATATATACACATATATGTATGTACAAACTAATAAAAGTGATTTAAAGGGAGAAATAACATAATGAGTGGAAGGGGGAGACAGCAAAGGCTTCATGTAGGAGATAGTAATTGGAGGAATCATGTAAGAAGGATTCTATAACATGTACACAAATGAGTGAACTATAAGGTGGTGAGGGATGGGGGCAAAGACGTGCTCCAGACAACCAACCAAACAATCAACAAACACTTAGTAGACCCTCACCATGTACCAGGCATTCTACTAATACCCTAGGGATGCAAAGGCAAATTCAGAAATACCCTCTGCCCCTGAAGAATTTCCAATCTATCAAGGGGAGTGAAAGTATACAATACAAAATCTTCTCCCCTAAAACCCACCTGATTCGATGCCTTTCTCCTTTGTCTCCCATATTTTGTTTTTACAGCTGTGCAGTCCTTACATACCTTAAATGACCAGATCTCCCACTTTGTGGTCACCAAGGCGAAGACCCTAGAGGAGGATAAAGACCCCTTTCTACCCACAGAAAAAGAATCTCTGAAGAACTCAATGACATTGATGAGACATCTCCTAATGGATGCCCAGGTACAAAGCACCAAGGGAAAGCCTTTGCTGGAACTTTTGGTGTGTTTATTCCCCACTCCCCTTCCCCCACTGTCTGAATGGGGGAGGAAGCTGTTCTCTGGGCATCTGATCTGTGGGAACAAGCCCAACTCTCATATTCATTGATAGCTGCCTTCTGGAGTGAGACAAATGACCACGAAGGCGACGTTTTATGATATGGAAGATTAGATTGTGGAATAGGTCATGTTTCAAGTTCAGGGTTTAAAAAAGCTTGTTTTAAGCCAAAGTCATGGGGCTTTAAAAGAAAAAAAAAGACTACAGTTGTTGTCTCTGAGAATCTAGCAAATCTTTTGTTACCTCTGGAAAAGTTAAAATCCATTTACTTGCGAGCTTGACAGGTCACAGCCTTCAAAGGTTCTTGGAGTAAATATTCCTACCTGAAAGCCAAGACAACTAATGCATGACTTTTAAGTAGATTGAATAGATTAGTGAGTAAGCAGGCCAGTGCTGCAGGTCAGTGCTGCAGGTCTGGTTTTTTTTTTTTTTCACTTGCTAATATATATTATTTGGTTTCTATCATGGCTGTTGGGTTTTGTCCTTTACACTCTTATGTACAGCTTCATTTATATTTCATACGCAACTCAGAATATTAATAACATACCTATTCCTAGCTACATTGTTGGGTGATTCTCCCCTGGGAGGCAGGTGGGCAAACACTGGGTGTTTTAGCAATGGTTTTTCATGGTAGAGAAACCAAATGAAATTAAGCTTTGTGGAACAGTCCTCTCTGGTCTCCAACTGTAACCACTTCAGACCTGCCATTATTTCCAACAAGTTGACTCAAGATCAATTTCCCCCACTCTCCTTTTGGTTGAACACCACTAAGGAAGGAATTGTCTCCATGTTTTTCTGTGAAAAATCTTAGACCGATGTTCCATTCTAGGGTGAATAATTTCGGCAATCTGTCTTTGTATTTTTGTTTGTGTGGTAGTGGTAGTCAATACACATACATGTGTGTGTGCATATACACACATATATGTATATATACACATAAAGGTGTGCGTATATGTATGTATATATATATATATGCATATGCACATGTATATGCATACACCTTTATTTATTTTTTTCCTTTTTGACCAGTGACCTGACTCAGCAGCAGCTGAGTCCCATATCAATGAGGTCTAGCTTTTTTCAGGGATGTTACAGAAAGGATTACTGCTTCAGGTCAGAGTTGGACAATGTGACCTCTAAAGGCCCTTCTGACTCCAAGAGTTTATGAATCTACCTCTTAACTGAGCATAGCTTTTAATCATTCCCCACACATTAACGAGGGTTCCATGGGATTTGTGTGCTGAAAATACCCCAAATTATACAAATCCTTTCATTGCTATTCACAGCTCCCCTCCTCTCTCCTTTGCAATGAGTAGCTCACTCAGCCTCCCTCCTTTACTCTAGAGAGTCCGGTAGAGAGTGGAAGTATTCTGAGGATACAACAGCCAATTTAAAAGCCCAGAGAAAAGAGAAATTTTTAAACAATTTACACAATAAAAGAGAGCGAATTGTCCTCCGAAGGGATTAGCCATCCTATGTGCAGATCCCCTAGCTTAGGCCCTATTCTGTACCTAAACACTCCATTTGAGGGAAGCATCTGGATGGATTGCTAATGATATTCTCTGAGCTCCAGGCTGCCAGGCTTCCAGCTACAGAAATGTCTGGGCACATCTGTCTCCCTCCCACACTGGGTTATGCCTGTGCATTTCTAGGGCTCGGCTTCGAAAACTGAGCCTTTATTAAGGACACCCCGCTCCCCACCCCCATCGACGCACTTGGTACCTTGAGTCCTCAGAGGCCTCAGTAATGAAAGATTCTCTCTCAGGCTGTTATAATGGACTCAGAATTGATACATTTTTAAGAATGTTCAGGAATGTCAGAGACCCTGTTATCTCTGCTCTCAACCCAGATCAGCGTCACTTGGTGTTTTGTTTTCTTTTGTGACATGACTTGGTATGTGGAGATGGGGCGGACTCTCGGTGAGTTAGCTATCCTCCACGATGGCGGGATTGAGACTGATGTTCCCATCATGCTGGGAAAAGACTTGAAAAGTCAAGAAGAGAAGTGCATGAGTATGTGTGTACGTACACACAGATGCATGTGTGTGCATATGCATGTGTACACATAAACACAAGAAACAATCCACACACAAATATACATATGCACATGCATACAGGTGTGCACGTATGTATAAATATGCATATAGATATGCACGTGCATATGCATGTGTGTATATGTACACATGTCTATATATGCAGATATGTCTATCCGTGTCTTTCCTTCTACACACACACACACACACATTCCTAGAGTGCTTTAAGGTTTGCAGATCACTTCCTTTGCACACGTTGTCTCATTTGGTCACGTAGATGATGATGTGAGGTAGTTACTGTTGTTATCTATAAAACAGCATTGGATCTTGGTAAGAATGATGATAACCATTTGTCTTGGGTGTTAAAATCTGTGAAGATACTTACTTCTGACCTGTGGTGGTACAGTGAAAAGAAAACTGGGGGTGAGAGTCAGAGGATCTGGGTTGGAATCTGTCACCTGCTACCTGTGGAACTATGCTAGTCATTTAACCTTTCTGGGACTCAGTTTCCACGTTTGTAAAAAAAAGGTGGTGGTGGTGGTGGTGGGGGTGGTGGGGGCTGAAATCCAGTTCCAGGCACTCTTGTTGCATGGGATGACATCCAAGCCTCTAATAGCGAAGAGTTTCTCCAATTTGCCCTAGCTTTCAAATCCAGACAGGATTGAGGAGGCTGCTGTCAGCCTTAGTCTAAAGAGACAGCATTCATGTCCTTTCTCTCCAGGCCTGCTAACTTCCTGAAACATTGCAGGGGGTTATGATTGACTGTGGGTCCCCTGGTGAAGTCAGCGAGAGCCAGGCTGCCAAGAGGCTCAGCATGTCACCAGCAGCATAGGAAAATGAGGAGGAACTGTGATCTGTGGGGGACTCCTGGCCTTCCACCAGCTCAGATTACAGCCTGTCAGTCTCCTAGAAGCTGAGGCCTAGAATGTGCCGTGGAAAAATTCCTGTAACTGGAATTAAAAAAAAAAAGGAACCCTTGTTCAAATTCCAATTTTGCTCTCTAGTGTGACCTTGGACACATCACCTAATCTCTTAGGGCCTCAGTTTCCTCTTTTGTAAAATGCAGGGGTTGTACCAAAGGGCCTCTCAAGTCCCCCTCAGCCCCAGCCCTATGATCCTAGGGATATTGCCTGAGGCAAGCTGGGATTAAGAGGCGATCAATGTCAGGGCTGAGCTTTTCTTGATTGCAAGATCAGACATTTGTCTGCCTCATAAACAGTGTCCCCTTGTATAATTCTGAAAGCATACCTTTGAAAGGAACACGGTGTAATCTCTGAAAGCCTTAAGAAAGCACCAACAGCTGAAGAAATGTCTGGGGTGATGCCTTTTTGGCAACAAGGTAAGGTGGGTGAGAAAATGGGGAGAAGTCTGGTCTGGAAGTCAGAAGAAACCTGGGTTCAAATCCTACCCTGACACATGTCCTGGCACTCTGGACATGCTCATGGGATATCATGGGTATAAATGTTCTACACATCGTTGTACCTTTCCTTTGTCGATTGTCCCCAATTTACCCTGTCTCTATCTTGTTTGTACATAGTAGTTTGCCTGTTGTCTCTATTAGATTATAAACTCCTTGAGGGCAGGGACTGGTTTTTCCCCCTTTCTTTGAATCCCCAGCACTTAGCACAAGGCCTGGCACAAAACAGGCACTCAATAAATGCTTGTTGACTGAATGATTGACCCACAACCCTCATAGAAACTAGAGTTTCCTTCTACATGAGGCCTTTCCTGGTCCCCTCATCAGTACAGTGGAAAGAGCATCAGCCCTGGAATCTGGGGTCCTGGGTCCAAATCTCACCTCTGATGCACATCACCTGTCTGATCTCAGACAAGTCCCTTACCCTTCCTGGGTCTCAGTTTCTTCATCTGTAAAATGAGCCAGTTGGAATCAATGACATCTAAGTTATTTCTAGGTGTTGTTCTTGTGTCTGACTCTTCACGACCCAGTTTTGGGGGCTTCATCAGTAAAGGTACTGGAGTGGTACATTTCCTTCTCCAGCTCATTTTACAGATGATGAACCAAGACAAGCAGGGTTAAGTGACTTGCCCAGGGTCATACATCTGGTAAGTGTCTGACGCCAGATTTGAGCTCAGGAAGATGAGTCTTCCTGATTCTAAGCCCAGCCACTTGTGATAACTCCATTCTTAAACCACCTTGTATTTATTCCATATACACACAGACACACATATATACACATATACATACATTCTGTACATAAATGTATATATTATATATGTACACATTAATATTCTGTACATATTTACAATACACATTTTTGTGCTTATATCTATACACACAAGAATATATCTCTATCTTTCTGTCTCTCTCTATCGAATATATACACATTTTCTCTGCCTGGATTAATAGAAGTTCTTAACCTGGGGTCTGTAAACTTGTTTTAAAAGATATTTTGATAACTCTCTTTAACATAATAAGTGTCCTTTTAAATCCTATGTATTTTTTATGCATTTCAAACCAGACTATCAAGAGGAGTCCATGACTCAAAACAAGTTTAACCCAGACCCTAGAACGTAAACTCCCAGAGGGCAGGGACTGTTTAACTTTTTTTGTGACTGTATCTCCAGCACCTAGCACAGTGCCTGGCACATGGCAGATGCTTATAAATGCTTGTTGGTGGACTGATGTTGGCTATTGTTATAGTTAGAGCAGCATGGCTGTGTCCATTAGCTCCAGGTGCCTCTCAGGACGGCTTGTGCAACTACTTGAGGAGTGCCTGTTTTCTCTATTGGAGCCAGTAAGTGCTTCTATGGGCAGTCATGGAATCCATTCCTTTGCCTGGCCCCATAATAAGCTTAGCGCCATGTTTATAAAATCTGTTAAGAGTGTCGATGATGATGAAACACTCTGACATCAGCTTACAACCTGAAGTCAAGCACCCAGTTGAGAACCCCGAGGCAGATCCAAGTGTGACGGAGGAAAAGGTGTCATCCATTCAAGTCACATCTGTCTTGGAAGCAATAAATCCTTCTTAGGAGAGAAAGTCAGCAGCTGAGCAGA